TTTGCTTAAGAAAATAGAAAGTCCAAGACCAAGCATGGTGGCTCACCCCTGTAATCCCAGCACTTTGGGAGGCCAAGGCGGGCAGATCTACTGAGGTCAGGAGTTCGAGACCAGCCTGGCCAACGTGGTGAAACCCCATCTCTACTAAAAATACAAAAAAAAAAAGAATTAACTGGGCATGGTTGCGCGCACCTGTAGTCCCAGCTACTCAGGAGGCTGAGGCAGGAGAACTGCTCAAACCTGGGACCAGGTGGGGGGTTGCAGTGAGCCAAGATTGCGCCATTGCACTCCAGCCTGAGTGACAGAGCAAGACTCTGTCTCAAAAAAAAAAAAAAAAAAGGAAAGAAAATAGAAAGCCCGGCCGGGCGCGGTGGCTCACACCTGTATCCCAGCACTTTGGAAGGCGGAGGTGGGAGGATCACCTGAGGTCGGGAGGTCAAGACAGCCTGACCAACACGGAAAAACCCCATCTCTACTAAAAATATAAAAATCAGCCAGGCATGGTGCCGCATGCCTGTAATCCCAGCTACTCGGCTGGCAAGGCAGAGAATCACTGGAACCCAGGAGGTGGAGGTTGCGGTGAGCCGAGATCACACTATTGCACTCCAGCCTGGGCGACAGAATGAAACTCCGTCTCAAAAAAAAAAAAAAAAAAAAAAAAAAAAAAAAGGCCAGGCGCGGTGGCTCATGCCTGTAATCCCAGCACTTTGGGAGGCTGAGGCGGGTGGATCACGAGGTCAGGAGATTGAGACCATCCTGGCTAAGACGGTGAAACCCTGTCTCTACTAAAAATACAAATTAGCCAGGCATGGTGGCGGGCGCCTGTAGTCCCAGCTACTCGGGAGGCTGAGGCAGGAGAATCGCGCCGAACCCAGGAGGCGGAGCTGCAGTGAGCAAAGATCGTGCCACTGCACTCCAGCAGAGCTACAGGCAAGACTCCGTCTCCAAAAAAAAAAAAAAAAAAAAGAAAATAGTAAATAGAAAGTTGCCAGGCAGGAGTGGCTTACACCATAGCCCCAGCACTTTGCAGGGGAGCTGAGAGCAGAGGATATCTTGACCCCAAGAGCTCAATATCAGCTGAGCAACAAGAGGGATCCTGTCTATACAAAAAAAAAAAAATTAAAAATCATTAGCCGGGCATAGCTAATTCCATGCATGCCTGTCATCCCAACTACTTGGAATGCCAAGGCAGGGGAATTGCCCGAGTCAGGGAAGCCCAGAGCTGCAGTGAGCTACGATCTCACCACTGCAATAGAGCAAGATTGACGATCTACCTACCTATTTAAATAAATTAAAGTAAAATGTATTAAGTAAATTAAATAATATTAAATAAATAAATAAATGGAAGCCAAAGACACAGCCAGGTTATAGTGGCACTCTGGTGGCCATGAACCAGAAGATAAGGCCCATCCATGTTATTCATTTATAATGCCCAGAGAAATCTTGCCAGAAGTCAACTGGCTAGTTATTAACAAATACCACATAGAACCCAAGTCTCTCAAAACAGTACATTTCTACAATCTCTTTTATCTAAGTTACCTAAGTTATGCAAACAAAGTGTAGTCCTATTTCTTTTACTTCTGAAGTTGTAAATTTGCTGAAGAAAATAGAAAGCCTGATTACATCATAATCCTGCACTTTGGGAAGCAGGAGTTGCTTGAGGTCAACAGTTCAAGACCAGCTGGAGCAGCACAGAGAGAGAAGTCCATCTGAGAGGAAGGAAGGAAGGAAGGGAGGAGGGAGGGAGGAGGTGCAGTCAGTGTTGGGAAGAGACCATGGATTTACTACACTATTCCACTATTCCAGGTCTGAAAGATGGTCTTCCTGCCAGTGTGGAATGGATTCCATCCAAAGACAGAAAAGAGTTGCCTACACAAGACAACTTTCTACACAAGACAAAATTTCAGCAAAACTGAAATTCCGTAGACATATACCATAAAACTAGTATCACAGTGTTCTTAATCTCAGTGAAGACTGGAGAATGAAAGCATCAATGAGTTAACTGTTAAATATTTTTCACAGGTCATTTTGCAATTAAAGTTCCCAGGAAACTTGCATGACAGTTTTAAAGTTCTATTATTATTATTATTATTTTAAATGTGATCTTGCTATATTGCCCAGGCTGGGAAGTAGTGGCTATTCACAGGCACTATGATAGGACACTACAGCCTCAAACTCCTGAAACCAAAAACCGATTTTTCCGGCCTCAGCCTCCCAAGGAGCTAAAACTACAGGCACACACTACCATGCATGGCTTAGTTTTAAAATCTGTAATACTGGTTTATAAGTCAACAAGGGTTCCTAGCAGTAATTCACTGAATATACAATTGTCTGTAAGTCTAGAAGTAGAGAGGTGAAACAGCAAATAAGATGATTCACTAGGAGTTTTCTTTCTTTGCTAAATTTTAAAGTGCTTTGCCACTGGGTTTTAAAAAAAAGAAAAAAAAGAAAAACTTTGTAGGTCTTTTTTTTTTTTTTTTTTTTTTGAGACGGAGTCTTGCTCTGTCACCCGGGCTTTTTTTTTTTTTTTTTTTTTTTTTTGAGACGGAGTCTTGCTCTGTCACCCGGGCTGGAGTGCAGAGGCCGGATCTCAGCTCACTGCAAGCTCCGCCTCCCGGGTTTACGCCATTCTCCTGCCTCAGCCTCCCGAGTAGCGGGGACTACAGGCGCCCGCCACCTCGCCCGGCTAGTTTTTTGTGTTTTTAGTAGAGACGGGGTTTCACTGTGTTAGCCAGGATGGTCTCGATCTCCTGACCTCGTGATCCGCCCGTCTCGGCCTCCCAAAGTGCTGGGATTAAAGGCTTGAGCCACCGCGCCCGGCTATGAGGTCTTTACTAACAGTGTTCTCTTCAGTTAGTAACAGGAGTAAACAAACAGCTCTTTACAGCGAGGAAGGAATTATGCCAATATTAAATCCGGAGCAAACTGCTAAGCTTTTTTCTGCAAGTGTCAAAAGTTACCAACAATTAATTAGGAGTATTTCTATGCAAAGGCAAGAGAATCAATTAACTCAACACTTATCTCCCTCTGTTGGAGAGTTCCTCTGAAGAAATGTTAACATAACAAAACGGTGCTTGTAACAATCTCCTTTTCTTTTCTTTTTTTTTTTTTGAGAGGGAGTCTTGCTCTGTCACCCAGGATGGAATGCAGTGGCTCAGTCTTGGCTCACTGCAACCTCCGCCTCCCAGGTTCGAGTGATTCTCCTGCCTCAGCCTCCTGAGTAGCTGGTATTACAGGCACGCACCACCACATCAGGCTAATTTTTGTATTTTTAGTAGAGACGGGGTTTCGCCATGCTGGCCAGGCTGATCTCGAACTCCTCACCTCAGGTGATCCACCCGCCTCGGCCTCCCAAAGTGCTGGGATTACAGGCGTGTGCCACCGCGCACCGCCAATTGCCTTACATTTACACCACATCTTCATCGCATTTGATCCTCACAAGTCAGTAAACATGCCCTAATATTTCCTATTCTACTAACCTTTAATTTTAAATAAGAATGAAAACTTGCAACTAAACAGCTGTCATTTGCATATAAAAAGTTCAACTCATTTACAACTTAACTGAGAAAGTAGAATATACAGGGTTTTTTGGGGGGTTTTTGGTGTTTTTTTTGAGACAGAGTTTCGCTCCTGTTGCCCAGGCTGGAATGCAGTGGCTCGATCTCAGCTCACCGCAACCTCCGCCTCCCGGGTTCAAGCGATTCTCCTGCCTCAGCCTCCCGAGTAGCTGGGATTACAGGCATGCGCCACCACGCCCGGTTAATTTGTATTTTTAGAAGAGACAAGGTTTCTCCGTGTTCGTCAGGCTGGCCTCAAACTCCGGAGCTCAGGTGATCCACCCGCCTCAGATTTCCAAAGTGCTGGCATTACAGGCCACCGCGCCCGGTCAGATACTGCTTTTTGTCATGGTTTTTATTTCCATTTTCACTTTTTTTTTTTTTTTTTTTTTTTTTTTTTGAGAGGTAGTCTCACTCCGTTGCCCAGGCTGGAGTGCAGTGGAGCGATCTCGGCTCACTGCAACCTCCAGCTCCCGGGTTCAAGCAATTCTCCCTGCCTCAGCCTCCCGAGTAGCTGAGATTACAAGGGCCCGCCACCACGCCTGGCTAATTTTTGTATTTCTAGCAGAGACGGGGTTTCGCCATGTTGGCGAGGCTGGTCTCGAACTCCTGACCTCAGGTGATCCACCCGCCTCTGCATCCCAAAGTGCTGGGATTACAGGCGTGAGCCACAGCGCTGACCCATTTTAACTTTCTTAAGCTGCAGTTGCTACAATCAAAATAAAGTACCAAGGGCCATACTGCATTGGTCAGCATTCAAATACAGTGGCATAATCTTATCTCTTCTAAAGGGAAGGAGAGCTGACAATGTTAGAAAACCATTTACATAACGTGCAATCCACGCTCGCATGTCAACCATCCTATTTAATTATTTTCCAGCACACTCACAACTTAAAGCACTTTAAAAACCACATTTAAAGTCTCATTTTTAATATAACTGCTTAGCAGTGTTTCGAAAACCTTGAGATTTTCATCTTATTTCACACTAAAAGACTACAATCGCGCTTCCACTTACGAATAAATCCCCTTGCTCTGACTTGCTTCAATCCTTTAAAAAAAAAAAAAAAAAAAACACCAAAACTTTCCCATACGAAGCACTGCAATATCTAAAGTTAGCTACTTTCCCAAGTCACTAACACGTGAGGACAAAACACAATCGCAACCGCGCCAGCAGAGCTGCGCCGCCAAGCTACCCCCTCCTTGCCCCCATCAGGCAAGGAGAACCTGAGGTCCCACCTCTTCCTGCCGCTCCCTTCCCAGATGCCCATGTATGTAAATAGGCAGCGTGAATGACACCTTGGAACAAATTACATCCGACTGACAGGGAAGGGAGGCCTGCAGTTACCCGGGCCCGGCGCCCGCTATCGCCGCCACGCGCCGGCAAGTCCCGCAAGTCGCCCCTGCCCGCACCCTGCCAGTGCCCAACGCACAGCAACCACAGACCTGCCTCCAGGGTTTCCAGCGGGGGCGGCGGTGGACCTGTCGTGTCTGGGGACAGGTGCTGGGGAGGCTTTTTGGTCCAGGGATTTCCCTTAGGCGGCAGCGGCGGCGGCTGCCGCTTTTCCGCAGGGCCAGCTGCCGCCTCTTCCCGGGCGTCCTCGGCCGGCGGATCCCGCAGCAACGGCGGCAACGGCGACGGCGGCGGCGGTGGCGGCTCCCCGCCGAAGGGGCCACCTGGCCCACGCGCCTTGTGCGCCAGGTGCAGCGCCAGGGGCCTCACGGGGACAGCCGCCTGGGGCACGCTGCGTCCCAGCACCAGCGCCGGCGACGGCTCTCCCCGCGCCCCCGCGCTAGTGGCGGCCGCGGCCCTGTCCTCCCTCGCCGCCTCTTTGCCCTCACGTTCGGGCGGGGGCGGCTGCTCGGCCGGCCGGTTCGCCGCGGCCAACAGCGACTCCCTCTCAGCAGTCACCGCGGGCGGATCCTCCCGAGAATGGGCGGCGGGCACCGGGGCGCGAGCAGACATCGTCCCTCTGCTCCAGCCGCCCCGGCCGGGGTGGCCCCGAGGCCAGGGAGCCCGACTGCCCGTCTCTCCGCCCGGACACCGAACGGCTCCAGCTGGGGGCAGAGAACCTGAGAGCCCGGCGGCCGTGGCCGCCACTGCCGCCGCCCGCCGAGGCCGCGCAGCGCCCGGCGTGACGCCCCTCCCCGCACCGAACGGAGCGCCAACCGCCCGCCGGCCCCGTCCTCTCCGCGACGCACGCCCGGAGCCCGCCACCACGCGCCGGGAGCCGCAGCCGGGAGCCGCGAGCTCTCACCTGGCGCAGGGCAGCTGCGGAGGCGCAGCACGCAGGGGCCTAGGAGCTTTACCCGAGTTGGGGAGGCGCGAGCAGCCAGAGCCGGTAACTGCCCGCGGAGGCGTGGAGACGGCGAGGAGGGGCGGCCCGAGAGCACGGGGCGGGGCCTCCCTGAGGAGCGTGACGTGGCTACTCACCGGCTCCTTCCCTCGCTGGGCCACTTGCGGGAGCTGACGGATTCGACCGCCCGGGTGCCGCCCGGCCCGAAGGCCTGCCCCGCCCCGGAGGCCCTCCGAGTGCTAGGGAGGACTTAGGGGACGACTCCCGGCTCACGGTCTGAGGCCGCCCCTACTGCGGACTCAGGGGCGGGGCGCGCACCAGGCCTCTGTGGCTCGCGGCCTGCCCCCGCGGCGACGGTGGCCAAGGGCCTGGGCGGGCCGCGCACATGGCGCCGGGAGGACTGGGCGCTTGATTTGCCCTTAGGCCCTAAAGCTGGGTCGCGGCTAGGCTAAGGGAGGGGACGCGGTGTCGACCCCCGGCCTGGGGCGGCTCCCAAGTGAAGTGGGCTCCCAGGCCCAGCCGCTTGGCCCCCTGGCGCCCGGCGCCTCCCCCCGGTGAAAGTTGCCTCCTGGCGCCTCCGGGCACGGCGATCACCTGTAATGTTGAGCCACGTCCGAGTTGAAAGCGGCGTTACCTCCTGGTAACTGTTTAGGAAACCTTTGCCAGGGCGTTCGGTTTAGTGCGCCTCCGCGCCCGGATTCCCACCCACCAACTAAGAGTTTTACAAGGGTTCCTGAGTAAATTAAATAGTATTTCGCCGGCTTTTAGATTTTTTTTGTTGTTTTTTCTTTAATTTGGGGAAACAGCACTTAATTATAAATTAACCATATTCCCAATAGGCTTTTTCTTCCTGGTATGGATGTTAAAATGGTACAAAGACGTTGCGATAATAAATCGGATACTAGCTTTCTACTTGGCACTCACATTCACTTAGAGATGATACTCGTTTCATATGCGTGTATTTTTGAGTCATTGTTTGTGTTCTGGTGCAAGGTGGCTGAGAGCAGGTTCCGCCGCTGATGTTTCTTTTTCCGAGCCCCACAACCCCATAGCCTTGTTAAATAAGTTATCCGTGCTTGCCTTTTGTATGGGCTTGCAACCCCCACCCCATGTCCAGTAGGTCTGGCTTCAATTACATTCAACCCGACGTTAATACTTGTTGCTTACTCAAAAGCTGTACTCGGCATAAATGATTTTCCTAAGGCTAATAACCTATTTATACATAACAGCTATAAACAATGAGGGTTTTCTTGTTTTCCATGTCAGTGATCTCCAGTTTACCTGACCCTAAGTAACCTAGAGAACCTTGTTGCAATTAAACGGGGATTGTACTTCCACCTATATTCCTAGCCATCTTTACTAGCTCTGTTATGTTATTAGTGGCCATGTGGTTTTTTTGTTGTTGTTGTTGTTTTGAGACGGAGTCTTGCTCTGTCGCCCAGGCTGGAGTGCAGTGGCCGGATCTCAGCTCACTGCAAGCTCCGCCTCTCGGGTTCATGCCATTCTCCTGCCTCAGCCTCCCGAGTAGCTGGGACTACAGGCGCCCGCCACCACGCCTGGCTAATTTTTTGTATTTTTTAGTAGAGACAGGGTTTCACCGTGTTAGCCAGGATGGTCTCGATCTCCTGACCTCGTGATCCGCCCGTCTCGGCCTCCCAAAGTGCTGGGATTAGAGGCTTGAGCCACCGCACCCGGACTATCGCTTTGTATTTTTTATTGGTGGTGGTGGTGGTGGTTGTTTGAGACAGAGTCTCTCTCTGTTGGCCCAGGCTGGAGTACAGTGGCGTGATCTCGGCTAACTGCAACCTCTGCCTCCGAGGCTCAAGAGATTCTCCTGCCTCAGCCTCCTGAGTAGCTGGGATTACAGGCACGCCACTACCACCCAGCTAATTTTTGTATATTTAGTAGAGACGGGGTTTCATCATGTTGGCCAGGCTGGTCTTAAACTCCTGACCTTAAATGATCCACCCACCTCAGCTTCTCAAAGTGCTGGGATTACAGGCATGAAGCACGGCGTCCGGAGTCCTTTTTTTTTTTTTTTTTTTTTTTTTTTGGGGGTAATCTTTCTTTTTGTCCAGGCTAGAGTGCAGTGGTGCAGTCAGGGCTCACTGCAACCTCTGCCTCTCGGGTTCAAGCGATTCTCATGCCTCAGCCTCTGGAGTAGCTGAGATTACAGACTCCCACCACCACACCTGGCTAATTTTTGTATTTTTGGTAGAGATAGTGTTTCACCATGTTGGCCAGGCTGGTCTTGAACTCCCGGCCTCAGGTCATACCCCCCCGCCCACCTTGGCTTCTCAAAGTGCTGGGATTACAGGCGTGAACCACCATGCCCAGTCTCACACCTCTGTAAAGGGTCCTTTTAATAATAAACTTAAAATTACAAATTTTGAGCGTTCCGTCTGATTTTAGTTTCATCTGACTGACCTAATTTGCTGTTATTAACCTCTATCTTGTTACTTCATTCTGCCTCTGCAGCTACGTGCCAGACTCTTCCTCTGCTTCTTAGTTCAAAATCAAGGATAAAAGACTGCTTGACCCTAGTTATTTTTTCCAGCCAGATTATACAAGTCATTAGCCAATCTGTGGATTTTCTGCCCTTGGGTAGGGTATTCACCTGGTCTGGAAGAACAAATTATTTGGTTCAAAACACTGCCATCGGCCAGGCGCAGTGGCTCAAGCCTATAATCCCAGCACTTTGGGGGGCCGAGGCTGGCGGATCACGAGGTCAGGAGTTTGAGACTAGCCTGGCTGACACGGTGACACCCTGTCTCTACTAAAAATACAAAAATTTAACCGGGCATGGTATTGTGAGCCTGTAGTCCCAGCTACTCAGTAGGCTGAGGCAGAAGAATTGTTTGAACCTGGGAGTCAGAGGTTGCAGTGAGGTGGCACCACTCCACTCCAGCCTGGGCTACAGAGTGAGAGTCCATCTCAAAAACAAAAAAACACTGCCCTCTGGGTTGGCGTGGTGGCTCACGCCTGTAATCCCAGCACTTTGGTAGGCCAAGGCAGGCGGATCACTTGTGGTCAAGAGTTCGAGACCAGCCTGGCCAACATGGTGAAACCCCATTTCTACTAAAAATACAAAACTTAGCCGGGCATGGTGACGGGTGCCTGTAATCACAGCTACTCGGGAGGCTGAGGCAGGAAAATCTCTTGAACCCAGTGAGCTGAGATCGTGCCACTGCATTCCAGCCACTCCAGCCTGGGAGACAGAGAGAGACTCACTCTTAAAAAAAAAAAAAAAAAAAAAAGCTGCCGTCAAGGCAATGGGGGTGAGAGAAGAGCCAATTTACAGTAAGCATGTGTGAGAGGTAGCATCCTTTAACCAGATTTTTTAACCCTGTTCTCTATCTCAGTGAATAGCACCATAAAACCTAGTCCATAAAACCTAAGAGTCATCCTTTCACCCCCGTCCCTCAAGCTCCATGGCTAGTTTATTCATTTGCAAATATTTCTTAAGCATCAGCCAGGCAATGTTCTAGGCACTCAGCAAGACCAATTGATTGTACCTCCTAAATCTATCAAATCCTTCTGCTGCTTTCTCCACTACTATTGCCCTACTCCAAGCTGCCGTCCTCCTTCCCTAATAGTATTATAGGCAGGCATTGTGGCGTGTGCCTGTAACCCCAGTTACTCAGGAGGCTGAGGCCGGAGAATCACTTGAACCTGGGAGGCAGAGGATGCAGTGAGCCGAGATCATGCCACTGCACTCCAGCCTGGGCGACAGAACTAGACTCCCATCTCAAAAAAAGAAAAGAAAAGAAAAAAAAAAGCCGGGCATAGTGATGCTGACCCATGTAGTCCCAGCTACTCGGGAGGCTGAGGCAGAAGGATCTCCTGAGATGGGGAAGCTGCAGGATGCAGCTAGCCAAGATCGCGCAACTGTACTTATAGCCTGAACGAAAGAGTGAGATCCTGTCACACAAAAAAATTAATAAAAGAGGAATAAAAGCATTTTTAGAAAATGTTGCTCTTTTTTTAACTGACCTATATCATACAAATGTGTAAAAACACAGTGTTTGCTGTGCAAACATAGGCGCTTTTTTTGGGGGGGAGGGGTGTTGGTTTTGTTTTTGTTGTTGTTTTGTATTTGTTTTGTGTGTGTGTGTGTGTGTGTTTGTTTTGGTTTTTGGTTTTGATTTTGGTTTTGGTTTTGTTTTTTGAGACAGAGTCTTGCCCTGTTGCCCAGGCTGGAGGGCAGTGGCACGATATTGGCTCACTGCAACTTCCTCCCGGGTTAGGCATTTCTCCTACCTCAGTCTCCCGAGCAGCTTAGACTACTGGCGCATGCCACCATGCCTGGCTAATTTTTGTATTTTTAGTACAGACGGGGTTTTGCCATGTTGGCCAGGCTGGTCTGAAACTCCTGACCTCAAGTGATCTGCCTGCCTCAGCCTCCCAAACTGCTGGCATTACAGGTGTGAGCCACCGCCTCCGGCCAAGCAGTTTCAACTCAAATCCAGGCTACTTTCCAGCCAGATTGCTGTTCTTAAGCCCCTTCTAAGTAAGCATTTTGAAGCTCTCTTTACTTTTAGGTAGGTTTTGTTTTCGTTTTTGTTTTCTTTTTGAGACAGAGTCTCGCTCTGTCGCCCAAGCTGGAGTGCAGTGGTGCGATCTCGGCTCACTGGAACCTCTGCCTCCCAGGTCAAGTGATTCTCCTGCGAGTAGCTGGGACCAGAGGCGCGTGCCACCGCGCCCGGCTAATTTTTTGTATTTTTAGTAGAGATGGGGTTTCACCATGTTAGCCAGGATGGTCTGGATCTCCTGACGTCGTGATCCACCCGCCTCAGCCTCCCAAAGTACTGGGATTACAGGTGTGAACTACCGTGCCCGGGCGTTTAGATAGGCTTTAAGGGGCCAGTTTAACAGAAATAGGGACTAAAAAGTTTATGTGTCTTGGCTAGAAACTCTCAGACTAATAATTGAGTTATGATACATATTAAAATCTATCTGCCTTTCCTGACACACCAATCTTTTTTTTATAACAACTTGGAATACACAAATAACAGTAATATTTAATATTTTTGAAAAAGTACTCCAATGATATTCAGTAAGCTCAAGGAAGCATATCTTTTTCTG